TGATCTAAAATTCTGACAATTATGATTCCATCTAAGATTTAGCAGGTGAACAGAGTTCAGGTCAAATGAGATTGCTAATTAATCTAGCTAGGTAAATGGAGTTCTGATTGGTGTTTTACCATTCTCAATCATTTTTGAAATTTATTTATCTTTGCTGACTGTGGGTGGTTCTTATTCCTGGATACAATATTAGATTATAAGGAATCTAAAACATGTTTGAAAATTGATGGGTGCCAGTCAGTAAATAAGAGGTTGTTGCGGAAGCAGACACTGGAGAATGTGTGTTAAATTAGCACAGATTTTAAGAAACAAACTCCTTACTATCAGTTACCATTACCAGTATTAAATATAACAGTGCATGCATTTTAAACTTCTAGAATGGATGCTTAGTATGTTGCTAAGTAACATAGTATACACTTAATGACATTGAGGTTACTTTTTTCCTTTATGAATGCAAATGCAGGCCTCAACAACTTGCAGTTGGGTATAACTGTGAATCTACATCAGACCTGTTGCTGTGAAGTCAAGAAATGCAGGTGGAACGGCTGAATGAACAAGGTGTACCGAGTGACATTCAAATGGAGTCCTGTAGTGTATTGGTTATAATCCCTTCCAAAAATAATAATTTGGTCACTCAATCCAAGGCTGCTTGTGGGATGTTGCTGTGCGCAATTGGCTGTCGCGTTTCATCCTCAAAATAGTCGATTCACTTTACAGTAAATCCTGCAATGAGCTTTAAGACATCTCAATGACATAAAGCGCTATATCAAATGCAAGGATTATTATTGTGTGAAGAAATCTGTAGTTGAGCAGCAGAAACTAAAGTAAACCCTTGTTCTAAATGTTAGTTTGCTTGCTGTGCGCTTGAAGACCCTCCTCTTGGACCATGCCTTCGGTCACCTCTCCCTTTCCAACTCTGCATCAAACGTTTAAGCACTCAAAACCTACCTGTGCGAAGGGCAGTATATAATTGCAAGTTGTTGTTGATTGGGGTGTTCCCTAACAACATTTATTTACCAAAAAANTTCAAAATGTGTAGAGGAATCCGGCTGGCTCACTCCAAATTGAGTTTTTGTGCTGGTAGTCTTCCTGTATGGTTTTTCTGCACGCATGCAATAGCGCTGACTAGCTATTGCCCAGTTATAATCGGGTAGATTTTATGAACCCCAATTGCTGCATTATAACTAACCATTTTGCTTTGTAAACTGCAACTTCATTCTAAATCAAATGTTGTAAAATGTCTCTGATCTAATCAGCTCAACAGCCATTTAGCCCTTAATCACCTTGTGAGTAGTAAACTGTTCATCCAACTGAAATTAAGTGAAAATGTTTAATTTTTCACAACAAAATACCGTTGCAATTGTACAGATGAGGCATGGAAGAAGAGAAAAATATGCTGCTGATAAGGCTGTAAATTAAAAACTGCAGAGCAAATGCACAGCAGGAATACTAGCTAATGCTGGTTTTGCAGTTTTAAACATGTCTTCTAATAAAACTCAATGTATGTGTGTTATTTTGTAAAATATAAGCTGACATCAGAACCTTTCTGGGTTGGATTACAGTGAACCTTGCTTTAGAATGTGATTGCTGGTGTGTAAGTGGTATTATGGGACACTGCTGTGCGCAATGGGCTGCTGCATTTCGGCTACAAAATATACAGTCAATTCACTTTACCGCATATTCTCTGAAGCACTTTGAGACGTCTCAACAACTTGGTAAGGCACTATATCAAATACAAGTATTATTAATGGAATGCAACGTGCACTCCTTGGAGGGAAATATCCTGCTTAACTAATTCCAGAAAGTATTAGGAATAGTTTGGCAAAAGCCAACGTTTGGAGATCCCAGAGTGCGCATTTGTAAGTCCCTTCGCCTCACCCTTACTTTGTCTCCTTCAAGACCCGTCTCAAGCTTCTCCTCTTTCATTGTGCCTTCGGTCACCCTCCGACCACTGCCCTTTACTCCTGACCCCAACACCCAACTTGAATCCAAATCCCTGACTGTCCAGCACTTTAGAGCGAGCGTCCTTCTGACGTGAAAGGCACTTTATTAATGTACTGTTTTGAACAGCTTAAGAGGTGTCCGAGGTTAGCCAAAATACCATTCCCATCCAGCAGAGGAGTGCATTTGACGCCGTATAATAACACGTGATAATGTTACACTTGAAGCAATGTTAACTAGCCAAACAGGACACCAAGTATTTTAACCCAGAAGTTAAAGTTAAAATCCTGTACTCTCACAGAATTCAGTAAATATTTACTTTTGCTTGGCTGCAAAATACCTTGGACGGGTAGGAGGAATCAATTAGCAGCAGCGCTGTTGTGGTTGGCAGCCTGCAGTTGCTTGTGAATGGATGGGCACTCCACACATTCACAAGTAGCTCAGCTGTCAATCAATTGTGATATTCCCTCCCTTGCGACTTCAACCTCCACTTCACCCTCTTCTCTCAACCTCCCTCAACATCCACTCTGCTACCCACACCACGGTCACCCACTCGACCTGGTGATCACCCAGGGCCTCAGCGACTCGGATGACACCGTTACTGACAAGGCCATCTCTGACCACCATTTCATCTCCCTCAACTCCCATATCCCTCTCCCCACTGCCTCCAAAACTACCACCATCTTCTACTGCCCGTGGAAGAAGATCTCCCCGCAATCCCTCTCCGCTGCCCTGGAGCCCTCTGAACTCCTCCCCCTCTGGCCCACCTCTCGCAACAACCCACCCGCTGCACTCCCTCTTCTCCACAGTACGCTCTCCACCACACTCAACGTCCTTGCTCCCCTCATATCCTGAACTGCCTCCTATTCCCGATCCTCAACCTGGTTCACCAACCACCTCCGCTTGCTTAAGGGCCAGGTGCGGTCTGCTGAATGCACTTAGCTCAAATCTGGCCTAACGGTCCACTGCCACATCTGGCTGGACCTCATCAAGACCTAGCACTCCACTCTCTTCTCAGCTAAATCACCCTTCTATTCCAGGTTAATCCTGGAGGCGAAGGACAACCCAAGGCTCCTGTTCTCAACCACCAACTGGCTCCTCTGCCCTCCCCGACATGCCTCGCAAATACTTTCCTCTGACTCACTGCGAGAAAATTCTGGACTTTGAGTCTAAAATCGAGGGAATCTGCTCAGCTGCCACTGCCCTACCAACTTCCACCCCCTCCCTAACCCCACCCCTCACAATTACCCATCTGATATTACCCATCCCTCCTTCCACACCTTTGAACCTGTCACACCCTCCTCTATCTTCAACACGGTAGCCTCCATGAAGCCCACCACCTGCTCTCTGGACCCCATCACCACCCTTCTCCTTAAATCCCAGCTCCACCTCCTTGCCCCACTACTCGCTGACATCATTAACCTCTCCCTGTCATCTAGCATTCTTCCTTCCTCCCCCTCAAAACCGCCATTATCACCACCATCTTGAAGAAACCTTCCCTTGACCCATCACAGCTATCTAGCTACCGGCCTATCTCAAATCTCCCCTTCCTATCTAGGGTCCTTGAGAGAGCTGTTGCCTCCCAGCTTTGCTCTTTCCTCTCACTCCCTCCATGAACCCCTCCACAACACGGAAACTGCTCTGGTCAAGGTCACAAACAACATCTTGACCATATGTGACCAGGGCTCCCTCTGCCTCCTCGTCCTCCTTGACCTCTCTGCCGCCTTTGACACGGTGGGCCACTCAATCCTCCTCCACCGCCTCTCCTCCCACCTCAACCTTCAAGGTTCTGTCCTTGACTGGTTCAGGTTCTATCTTTCACACCGCCTCCACTTCATCGCGGCAAACGGCTTTTCCTCCAGCCCCCACACCATCTGTGCAGTGTTCCTCAGGGCTCTGTCCTCAGTCCCCTCCTCTTCACCCTCTACATGCTCCCCCTTGGTGACATCATCCATAGACATGGGGTAAATTTCCACATGTATGCGGATTACACCCAACTCTCTGCCTCCACCCTGAACTCCAGGACTACTGGCGTCCTGACCGACTGCCTGTCCGACATCAAGTCCTGGACGAGGGCCAACTTTCTCCAACTCAACGTCAGCAAGACTGAGGCCCTACTGATTGGCTCACGCCAGCGCCTCCGCACCTCAGGCGCTGGCAGCATCAGACGCCACGGCTACACACTCAACCTCACTAAGCCAGTCAGGAACCTGGGTATCTTGTTTGACCCTGAACTGTCCTTTCTCCCCCACATCCTCACCATGAACGGCACTGCCTACCACCACCTCAACAACATTGCCAGACTCCGCCACTGCCTCACCCCTCAGGCTGCTGAAACCCTCACCGACGCATTTGTCACATCAAAGCTCGATTACGGGAACTCCCTTCTCATTGGCCTTCCCAACTCTTTCCTTCACAAGCTGCAGATCATCAAAACTCTGCAGCTCATGTACGCTCACGCACCAGCCTCCGTGACCCCATCACTCCCACCCTCGCCTGACTCCACTGGCACCCCATCCCCAGAGGATCGAGTTCAAAATCCTCATCCTCACTTTTAAGGCCATCCATGGTCTTGCCCCCTCCTACATCTCTGACCTGCTGACTCCTTACCAACCTGCCCGCTCCCTCTGTTCATCAGGCTCCGGCCTGCTCCCATGTCTCCCACCCGACCCACCCTACCATCGGTGGCCGGGCTTTCAGCTTCTCTGCCCCCACACTCTGGAACTCCATTCCATGGTCCCTTCGCCTCGCTTCCTCCGTTGCCTCCTTCAAGGCCGGTCTCAAGACCCTTCTCTTCTCCTGTGCCTTTGGTCTCCCTCCCAACTCTCCGCTTTCCCTCAACCCCTACACCACCCCTCCCCCATGCTTGGGCCTCGATAGCTGACTGTTCAGCGCTTTGGGATGTCCTCCCGACGTGAGAGGTGCTCTATAAATGTAATTTTGTTGTTCTTCCCTGTTCCTCAGCTTGACAGCCCAACTCCAGCCGCTTGTGAATGGCTGGAGGCTGCTGTCTGTCAATCGTAGAGTCCTCCCATCTTCATTCCGGAGTCCCTCGTGGCTGAATGGACACACAGAAGGCCCGAGTGAGTACATTCACTGGTGACCAGTGTGGCATTTTGCCTGGAGTAACTATTTTTGTCTGTATCAACCGGCATATTTAAAATGGGTAAGAATACAAATGATTCGGGCCGACAGTTTTGTTTGGTTTACCTGACATCTGGGGTTAATAGGTGTCCGGCAAAAGCAGATTCCATTGTATTTATATAATGCCCTTCACTAAGTGTAATGTCTTGGAGCGCTTTACAGGATAGAATTGGACACTAAGTTACCAAGTTGTTGAGAAGTCTCAAAGCGCTTCAGAGAATGTTGTAAAGTGAATTGATTGTACATTTTGTGGGTGAAACACAGCAGCCCATTGCGCACAGCAGTGAACCACAAACAGGCGTGAATTTTTTTTTAAGGGATTATTACCCCCGAAAAAGCGATCTGCCAATCAATTAACAACCTACTTACTGCTAGATAAACAGTGTGGAGTGAGTAAACTTGCCCTGCCTGGAAATCAAACCAAGGTCCTCTCACCAAGCGGGAGAAGGAGAAAGGGAGGTGGCCATTGGTGTATGATTTGAGGAGGCACAAAGATAGAAAAAGTATGCGATCGAGTAATAGAGGGAGTTCCAGAGGATAGGGGTTGAAGGCTCGGACATCGCTGGTGCCACGGAAAAGGTGGAGGTCATGCAGCAAACCCAAGTTGACTTCATGTCTGAGGACAACTTGTAAAGCACAAAGTTTCTGAGCTTGAGGAGTAGTTGTGGGACATCCCATCACATACAGAAGGCTGAGGAGTTCCTTGACTATATGCTCCTGTAGGTGGCCACCCAATAGACACAGGTAGATAGAGTTAGAAAGGGAATTGGGTTACTGTCCATGGAGGGTCAGAAGAGCAGACAGGAGACAGTGCATGGATCCACTGAGATATTATCCAGGCATTGGATATCAGAAAAAGCCGCAGTGGAAGGCAAGCATGATCAGTGCCACTGCACCGTGAAACAAGTGAGTGCCAAGGAGGGCAAAGTGAAGGTCAGAGCTGTAGTGGTGATAGGAGCCTTCATAATCATAGAGTGGTGATCTATAGGTCTTGAATCCTGAATAATCTTTCCTCCCAGGGCTAGGGGTAATCAGAGGGGGGAGGGAAGGAGAACAGTCGGTTGTAGCTCATGTTCAAACCAATGACATAACAAAATGTTAGGTTTCAGGTCCTGCAGAAAGAGTTCCAGGAATTTGATCGATTGAGATGCAGGACTTCAAGAGTGTCATCTCAGGATTACTCTGTGTCACATGCAGGTCAATATATTAACAGGAAGATATGGCAGGTAAATGTGTGGCTGGAGAATTGGTTTAGGAGGGAAGGATTTAGATTCTTAGGATTCATAGAATCAGTTCTGGGGCAGGAATGAGCTGTACAGAATAGATAGTCTACACCTAAACAAGGCTGACTTCAGTCTCCTTGCTGGGAGATAACAGCAGCGGAAGATTTGAATTAATATGGCGGTTGGGAAGAAAGATGATGTGATATGGAGGAGAAGTGGGAGGGGTTTGGAACATGCAATTGGTTTGAAAGGCCTATTTCTATTACTGTAGATTCTTTGTAAGTAATGCAGCTGAGGAATACAATACCAAATTACATTTGTATAGTGCCTTTCATGTCGGGAGAACATCTCAAGGTGTTGGACAGTCAGGGATCCGAGCAGGATGTTGGAGGGTGGCTGAAGGCACGGTTAAAGAGGAAGGTCTTGAGACGTGCCCCTTGAAGGAGGCATGGAGCGAGACATAGGGACTTTGCAATGGAGTTCCAAAGGATGGAGGCAGAGATGCTGAAGGCCTGACCACCGATGGTGGAACGAGCAGGGGACTTGAAACAGGCCGCAGCCTGCTGAGCGGTGGAAGCCTGCTAATATGGGGTTAGCGGGTTACAGAGGTAAGGAGCAAGGCCTTGGAGGGCCTTAAAGACAAGGATTTTGAACTCTATCCTCTGGGGGATGAGGAACCAGTAGAGCCTGGCGAGGGTGGAGGTGTTAGGGTCACAGAGCCTGGTGTGGAAGAGGCCCTGAGCTGCAGAGTTCTGGATGATCTGCAGCCTGTGGAGGGAAGAGTTGGGAAGGCAGACGCGTAGGGAGTTTGCGTAGTTGAGCCTAGATGTGATAAATCCATGGATGAGGGTTTTGATGTGGTGAGGCAGTGGTGGAGCCAGGCAATGTTGAGGAGGTGGGGGAAAACAGAAGATCATGGCACAAATGGGGGGTCAAAAGGAGGAGGGTAGGAAATCAGAGAGATAAGGGGGTGTCCAGGAGGAGATGGATTTATAGTTGAGGCTGAGTCAAAGTGGTTTGAGATCACCTCGTGGTAATCTCAACTACTTCAATCATAATAATAAATAATCCTTGCAATATTAGTGGCTTATGTTGTCATGCTGGATCAATTGGTAGCATCTCAAATCTGAGTCAGACGGTTGTGGGTATAAGTTCCATGTCAGGATTTTGAACACGTAGTTCAGACTGAATTGCAGTACAGTGCTGGGAATGTGCTGCATTGTTGGAGGAGCTGTCCTTCACATCAGATGTTAAATTGAGATTCCCATCTGCCTGTTCTGGTGCATTTTTAGATCCCATAGTATTATTTGAAAAGTGAATTTTGCTGGTGACCTGGGCAACAATCCCCTAAATGAAATTAGTCATTCACTTCCTGGCAGTTTGTGGAACATTGCTGTGTGCAAATTTATACTTTTTATACTCACTTTAGAAAGAGGAAAAAGAAAAATTGTACTAAAGTTCTGGTAGTGTATTACAGTGTGGAATAAATGACCACATTTAGAAAGTGCCTTTCATTTAAAAGAAATTTCTCTGAAGCATGTGAGAGTAATTAAAAATGAAATGTTATTGGAGGCACCTAAAATGTAAGGGATATGGGAACTATGAGCTGCTCATATCTAAGGCTGTTCAGTACATGTGAGTACACAACAGTGCCAAACTTCAAGCTGGTACTGATTTTACTCTGGTTTAGTTGGTTCCTGTGGAGTTCCTGTCCAGCAGGCTCCTCTACCATTTCATCAGAAAACCTTCATGCAGAAAGAGTTGGGATCCAGTTACTGTTACACCAATATAAATTATTGGTGCATGTTTATGGATAGACCATTTCAACCCTGGGCATCACAGCTTTGCATTATCTTGTCAACACATATGTAAATAGTGATCAATAGATAATTCTGCTCAATTGCTTTTTTCCTAGCCTGTTAATATAACTTTTCAAAAGCTTTTGAGTTGGAAATCAAGGTTTAACTTCGTCATCTCATGAAATGAGATGAGTGGCAAACCTGAAGTAACTGTCTGATAAATACTTTACATCTAGGTATGTCCCAAGAAAAGATCTAATACTGTTCAAACTGAAATTATATGGCTAATTTAGCCTCACTTGCACCTAATAAATAAACACTGTTTGACACCCTCGCTCCCCTCCTTAGTTGACATTTGTTAGAATAAAGTGATATTACAAAATTTCACAAGGGACTGATGCTTCTATTGCTGCCAGCTGGTCAGTTCTTTGTTGAATGCCAAATATTAAAAAAATTGGAATAAAATTACACATGAACTTTTGCTTTAATTCCACCTTTAACTGAATTGTATGGAATACAATGATACAGCACTCCAAGTTAATTTTGCCTGGAAGTATTTTGCTCATACAAATAACCTTTCGGGAGCCATGTTTTGGAGCTGAACCATGTGGAGAATCTGGTTACTGTGAGTCGTAATCCTTTCCTTTATGGTAACTGAAAGATTTAAACATTGGTGACTAAAATGGTGGCAAAAATTGTGTTTCTGTATATAAGGAGTAAACTACAATGTTTTGAAGCTGTCTATTTTTAGCATGCTCTGAGAGAAATGGAAATTCTCATCTTTCACAGAATATAAAATGCTACTGCAGCACACTCATACTAACGTTTCATCATTGCAAGTGATAAGTAGATTACATTTACAGTCTAATGTGTTACGATATGGCCATAATTGCTTGTGTTTTATACTGACGTGTTGTATTCTTGCCGCATGAATAGCATTTTGGAATTTCTTGCAGGAAATGTTAGTGTGCAGATGTCTACAATGCATCAAACGCGTTCTGCCTGACTAACAACTGCATATGTAAACAGAACGGATGCCATGCATCTGCTGCAGAAACAAAGCAGTGGCGATTGCAGCTGCTAACTTAACAGTCGAACATTTCTCAGCACTGATGAGTGAATGGTATTTATTCATATTATTATGATGCCTAGATTTGTTTTATGTATGCTTTTGGGTTGTTCTGTGCCACGCTAATGCACACTAGTAGGACATGGAATTGTCTGTTTTCTGACACGATGAGTTGTTGATTTCAGCCGAGCTGTCTAGCTGAGGTGTTTCCTATGAGGGAGGGGAAATTGGAAGGATAATTGCATCGGTGCAACACTGAGAACCTGGATTAGTAGTGTTTGGGAATATAAGATAACCTGCTTTAGTGGTGATTTGGTATGGGTGGTGGTGGGGAGGGGGGGAGTGAAGAGAGAATTCAAATGCTTTTGATTACCTTTTTTTGCATATAACCCAAGAGGAAGTGCTATTTTGCAGCAAAAAAATACATGGTTTGATTACACTATTTAAAATTTATTGTAAGACTAAGAGGAAGTGCTTGGACTGCATAATGCTAGAATATAGATATTGAATGTTTTCAGCTTTCTTGGCCTAATATTGAATGGTTGAATTTGTTATGTAGCAGCTCTTTATAAATGTATGCATGAAAATGAGCGATGAGTCCTTCATTGTATGTACCAAGTACTCATTTGGCTTGCTTGTGTAGAGAGCATGTTCTTTTTTTAAAAAGAAATTTTGTTCAATTCTTGTCTCTATACATTACTGAATGTCTTGAAGTCAAAGCTGAGCTTGGAATGTTTTCCAGCCCATCTTTGTTGCATATGTTTTAACAAGCAGTTTTGATTAACACTAACGTGTTTGCTTTACAGTGATACTGTGAAAGCATGAAGAGCATGAATGAGAAACTAGGC